GATAAAATGTTATTTAAATTTTTGTTATTTAAATAATGTTATTAAAATAATGTTATTGTCGATTAAGGGTTTTGTCCCAAAAATGTATTTTTTTACCGTTTCACATTTTTTACTAAAGTTGCCCTAATTGTTCTAATGATCCTAGTTCATTTTCCTACTGTACCACATCTGTATAATTTTATATATTATTATTTAAAAATGGTTTAAAATATTGAAATAATCATTTACAATTATAATAATTATTACCTTTTGAATAAATTAAAATTAATTTCATTATAAACATATATAAACTAATTTTAAATAATTATGACTTTATATTTAATGTATATATAAAAACACCATGTAAAGTTTAAGGTACAACTTATATAAAAACGAACATTTTATTTAAATAATTACAAAATTGTGTTATTCGTTTTTAACTTTAAAAATAACATGACTTAGCTGTTGTTAAGTTTAATTGTTTCATACAAATGATAATAATAATGTACTTAAATAATAATTGATTTTATGTAAAACAATGAAACTGTTGAAGAACTATAGTTAATATTCAATTTAACAGTCGTTTCATTGAAGTTTAATTCTTTTATATTTTGTTTACTATTTTCAGAATATGTAATTACAGTATGTGAGAAAAGTATGTGAGAATGAGAAAACCCTGTGGATTCAACAAAAATTACATATTTGTTTTTCTTTTTTTAAATAAAAATGTTTTTCTTTAAAAAAAACAATCTAAATAATATAATTATGAGCTCCAGGAATGTTGCTTTTAGTGGCTTAGACCATACAACACTTGAAAAGAATTTAAAGTATTGTCCTGGTCCAGTGAAAGAAATAGCCCAAAGAACATTCAGCAAACATTGCAACTTTTGTGAATTGCCCCTGAATGTTCAGGTGTATTTGATGAATATTGAAAAGGAAATTTTCAATGGAATTAATACGGAAAAGGTGACCGAGAGTAAACTATGTAGAGTCTTTGCTTTATCTTCAAGTCAGTTTAATATCAACAAACGAAGAGGTATGGAGACGGCATTGTTTGGAAAAAAAGATAACGGAAGACCGTCACTTTTAACTGTAACACAATGGGAAATTGTCAAGAATTGATTCTTGATAAGAAA